TTGTGGAGTCGTTTAAATATATTGGATTTTAAACTGTCATACAATTTTTTTCATCGATAGTCTGTAATTGGAACCGTAACTCTTATTTATTCAAATTGTATTAATATGTAAAGACCAAGTGTAACCTATATCATCGTTAAATCTTATCTTATAAAACCAGTGTAACTTCAAAATCGTTAAAATCCATGGCTCTCGCTGCATTGCGCGGATACACAACTAGTACATATATATGTATACATATATATACACATATCTACATGTACACACACATATCTACATGTACATATCTACATATACATATATACACACACATATATCTACACATATATATATATATATATATATATATATAGAGAGAGAGAGAGAGAGAGAGACTTGGGATTACGTGAGATTAACCTGTTTTGTATACTCGTCAGACCACTTTTTTACACTTGAAACTTCACAACAAAATATTGTGAAGGTGAAAAAAATTTGAACCTTCACAGCAAAAGCATTGTGAAGATTACCTTCACAGTGCTTTGTTGTGAAGTTTCAAGTGTAAAAAAATGATCTCACGGGTCTTACAAAAAACAGACTGGTCTCACATGATCCCAAATCTATCTATCTATCTCTCTATATATATACACACACATACGTACATATATACACACACATACATATATATACACACACATACATATATATATATATATATATATATATATACACATATACACATACATACATAGACTTGGGATCATGTGAGACCAATGGTTTTTCGTGAGACCCGTAAGACCAATTCTCAACCTTGGATTATATTTACAATCGTCAGATTTGAACATTCATAAACGCCACGAGACTTCTCAATAATTACAAAATTGCCATCTTGCAACTTTAGACCATTAGATCATTAGCTTATAAAGTTGATCAATGAACATAAATTGGTCTTACGAGTCTCACGAAAAACCCTTGGTCTCACGTGAACCCAACCCTACATACATATGTATATATATACATACATACATATATAGATACATATATATATACACACACACATAATGCAAACCTCCCCATGTATAAACCGTGAAAAGTTCATAAAATCAATTACAATTTTTTTTTTACTTTTTTTTAATTATGAGGGTTGATTATAGTCAATTTTTATGTTGGAGGGTGTTAATTATGGACACTATCATCTTCATTATATTAATAGAAAACAAATTTCAAGAAATACATGAAAGAATTTCATTTTTACATAGAAACAAAAATATATGAAATGATTTCATCAAGAAAAGAATTATATGAAACAATTTCATTAAATTAAACGATGAATGAAGATGATTCGTAAGGTTTGTACAAATAGTTTTGTTTGCAAAGTTAACCACCCATATATATATATATACACATACATATATATATATATACATACATATATATATATATATACATACATATATATATATATATATGGGTTATTATACAATTCTTTACATTTGTACAATCAATACAACTCAATCTCAACCGTCTATTTAATTTGATGAATACCTAGTAACTCTACGTCCCTGTAGGTCTAGGGTCCAAGTCTTAGTGAAATGTCTGAGTTTAATTTTTTGTACATAATTATTATATATTTCAGAGAAATATCAGATAGTTAGGAGACTTTAGCCTAGTGCTCGTGTATCTATTGCATTGACCTATCAAAGCGAGTTAAGCCAGGCGAGCTGCCAAGGCTAATCAAGTTGTAAGCAAGTATGAAAGTAGCTTCAAGAGTCGTGTGTAAGGTAGCATCTCTCCCTCTTGGATACGACAACAATAAGATCAGTACAGAATGTGTAGTTAACTCTATATATCAAGTGAAATACTGTGAAGATGCAGTGTTTTAAGTAATGCATGTCAAAGCCAAAGGATACATCCATCCTCAATTTAGTCAAATGGTATCGATACATACTGTTGTAATTGTACTCAATTGATTCATATGCGATAGACTCAACCCTCACAACATGCTAATTCAGTACTGAGTTCTCACATATGCAAATATTTATGTTGTTTGCATGCAACTGTTCCGTTTGTTTAGAGTAAACTCTAATTTTGGTCCTCGAGGTTTAGTGAAATATTTAAAAGTGAGACATGAACTTTGACAAGTCTAGAAATCGTATTTGTGGTTCTTATTTTGCTTTGAAGGTGGTCCCTAATTACCAACTCTGTTAAATTTAACGCTGATCCACACCCACCATAGAAACCATAGTAGATGTTTTTTCGCGCCCCTCCTCCGATGAACGATATCAATGTACAAAAAGTTCATTGAATACCTACTTGTCAATGGCCCAAATTTTTTATGATAACAAAGAGAGTCCAACATTACTTTTATGGACTAATATTTACGATTAATATATATATATATAGGCTTGGGATCATGTGAGACCAATGGTTTTTCGTGAGACCCGTAAGACCAATTCTCAATCCTTGGATTAGATTTACAGTCATCAGATCCGAACATTCATAAACGCCACGAGACTTCTCAATAATTACAAAATTATCATCTTGTAACTTTTAACCATTAGATCGTTAGATTATAAAGTTGATCAATGAACATGAATTGGTCTTACGGGTCTCACGAAAAACCCTTG